TCCATGTCGAGTCTTTCTGGATCTAATGATAAGATTACGCTGTTTTCTATAGTAGATGATCTTGTGATCTTATTATTGGTATATTCGACAGGCGAGGGATATACTTTGATGGATAAAAAGTTTTGAAAACCCTGCGTTTTGGGCTTGACATGACTCAGTAAATAGCTAAATGTTTGAATTTTTAGGAGGTCTATAGTACGTTTCAGGTAGAAACTTTGGCTACCTTGGAAATTCGAATTCCCAAATGCGTGATAGAGGAGCGTACTTTATGGAGAAGTATTCGCGTCGTCAGCTTCTCGAGTATATAAATGATTATGGAATTTCACCAGAACCTACTTGGCAGCCGAGGATTGATCAAGTGCGCGAAGAACTGGGAGAGTACGTTGAAACTGTTTTGAAACACATGTTTTTGCATTAACCTTGGTCATTGCAGCTTTGTGAAAATGGAGAATGTCTACAAATTGATGGCTAGACTTGGACAGTGCTTCACACAGAGCAGAGTACGTTAAATGAGTGTTGTTTTAGGTTGCTCTTTTTTCCAATTGTTTTTTTCATTCTAGGAGTCTGGAGCAGTCTTCCAAAGGAGTGAATACTTTGCCGTTCCTGATATCATTGGAGGTCGCAATAGTTTGAAGTAAGACGAAATGATACTTTTGACGAAAACTTGTTACGGAAGCCTTATGAAAGGCAGCGTAAGGGCAGATTCTTGACTTCCACTTTTGCTTTATTCGGGCTTCTTCATGGCGCTTTCCACATATGACATCTTAAAAGGCGAAATTCAAAAAATTTTTCGGGGACTATTTTGTGAGAGTCATGGACGTTCATAGTTTATTCATAAAATCAAAGTGAAGTGGTTTTCCAAGATGCGATGATACCTCTTGGAGAGCATGTAACGCTCATTCTAATCTGTGTTCCCTATCTGCGGAGCATTTCTCGCACGAGTAGTTAGAGTCTGATAGAGCAAAAGATTGACTGTGTAAATATTATGAAGATGATAGCAACATCTTTCCTAGCTCAACTGGAGCATTGATAATTATCAGGGCACTTCATGCAATAATGCTTCAAGGAAAGCAAGTATAGTCAAAGTGCCCTTTCATAAAGAGTATGAAATACTGATTCCAAATCCACCTTTTCTATCTGCTGGGTTAGGATGAGGATTTAGGATCAAAATAAGTGCATATCAGTGAAAAATCAGTCGTGATTTTTTCTGGAGTTCAAATGTGGCTGCGTCAAATGGATACGTTTCAGTCATTATATTAGGTTGGAAAGAAAGTTCTCGGATTTTTTCAAATTAGATCTGCTATTTCTCGAAACCTAAAACAT